TGGGTAGAGGGTAGCTAAGAGCTACCTATTTATGTTAGCTATACCAATATTAGCCAGAACATGGGGAGCAAGGTGTAGGGGTAAGGGGAACCTTTCTCTTCAGTTCAGATCTGAAGTAGTCTAAAAATGGGGAAATGGAGACTACATCCTGTCTCAGGTACAGAGATACATGTGACAGCCTGTGCTCTGGGACCCTCTTGCCTTTTCAGATCTTTTGCTGGGTGGTACCTGACCTGCAGAGAAGCAGAAATTTCTCCATAGGAGATTAAATGGGGTGGGGGTTGGGAACCTAGAAAGTCCATCATCTGCAGCTTAGTTTAGATGATTTGGGGTTTTCAACCATACATACTGAAATGTAGGGACTTTGGGGCAAAGATTCTGTACACAGATATTTGAATCATGGTGTGGGAACTAAATTTAATCTAAATAATTTAAGATTAAGATAACTTTAATCTAAAATAACTTCACATTAATCTAATAACTTAGTAACTTTAAATAACTTAATAACTAATGATTTAATCTAAATAACTAAATAACTAATTGAGAAACTCTAAATAACTTAAGATTTAATCTAAATAACTTGAGGACAGAGACAAATGGGGGTCAGTGGGAGTACAAAAGTAGTTCCTCAAATTAAGCTCAATCTAAAGAATTTTTAAAAGCTATGCTATAGAAATGGAAAACAATGCATACATCATTGAGGTATCTGTCATAGTTTGGTTCAGATCAATGATGTCTGAAATGATACTTCAGAGAGATGTCTCACATCTCTGTGTGTGTTTATAGAGTTAGGTGGTCCTTAACAACCCCTCTACTTCTTCAAACAGGGCCTCCATAGTGCTATGCTGGGAGCCTGTCCTGCAGCCTGGGGAAAAGTTTGTCCTTCTGGGTCTCTGTTTTTGTCATTGCCCTTCAGCTGCATGGGCTTCTTCATCCTGTCCCTACCTGGAACCAGTAGTCATTAGCTCTAGGTCCTCAGCCCTAGTGATGTCACTTGCTAGCTTGGATTGCAATCCAAAGTTGAAATGGGAGGGGATGAAGGACATATATGGTCTCAGATGCTTTACTTCTAAGGCCGAGTAGGTAATTTAAAGTTTATTGGATGAATTATACATTGAAGAACATGTTGGAACATTCCAAATAAAAGAGAAGAAAGGAAGAGTTAGTGAGTGGGGAAAAAAAAACAGATAAAATAATCCCCTTAAGTTGTACTCAGAAATTTTATCCTGGTGCTAGAAATAATTATCTTAAGGTTCTTCAGGAGACAAAGAGAATAAATATACTTCTTGCTCTGTACTTCTCCATGCACATTCATGTCTGAATTACCATTTCTTCCATGTGGCTGTGCCCTCCAAAGGTCATTTCAAGATTTCCACTATTTCCATGCAATGACTCCCTAATTCTTTACAAGAATACTTTGAATACCCTGGAGAAGAAAAGCTTCTTGGAGATGGTGAGATCTTGGGTTATGACTTACAAGGATTAAATGTAAAACTTTGCAGAGTAGGAACAGAGAATGTGATGAGCAAATACAAAATGACAAAACCTAAATGATGAAAGTAGATTTTAGATGAAATATTTGGAATTTGGCAGCCTGCAGTTGTACATGTGGAGGGTCATTGTGGCAAGATCTGAGTTGGGCAGGTGCTATCAGTTTATGCCACAAACATACAAGTGAAAGTATTCAAAAAGAATGAGAGAGGAAAAGACAGAGTTGAATGAACATATTGCCCAGGATATACAGAAGGTTCTTTGGTCACCGACTCAAAACCAGATGTCATTTTTCTCTGGGTTTTAAATCTTCATGACCTACTGCATGTTCAGAGTCTCCCAGTCTTTTTAAGACACTCAACCAAGGCAAAGAATAGACAAGATGTTGACTTAGGGAATGGAGGGTATACAGTTTTGTGACAGAAAAATAAAACAGAGAATATGCCTGTGGAAATTGTTTTAGAATATTAATTGAACCCTCACTGGGTTGCTCCCTAGAGGGAAAACAATTGTTAGATACACAAAATAAAGGGAAAGAAAGAAGAACATTAGACTTTGATAAGTGGAAGCAGGAGTCAGAGTGGTAAATGCAGTAAAAAGACAAATTCCAGATTTTAGGAAAACTGCCCAAAGACTGTATGTGTGTGGGCGCAAGGGAGGGGGTTTGTGAAGGAAAAGAGAGAAACCTAAAAATGTATAATATAAAATGACATCTAAGATATGCACGGCCACATCATTGTGGTAACACAGGACGCAGATATATTCATATATTCACTGGCTCTGGATTTAAATTTTATTTCATTAAACCCTAATAATTAAACAGTAAAAATATAGTACCACTGAATCTCAATCGGCCCATTTCAAAAGATAGAATGTTAAATGGTCAATGTAAGGGGCATCTGGGTGGTTCAGTTTGTTAAACACCTGCCTTCAGCTCAAGTCATGATCCTGGGCTTCTGGGATCAAGTCCTGCACTGGGTGCCATGCTAAGCAGAGAACCTGCTCCTCCCCCTGCCTCTGCCTCTGTCTCTCATGAATGAATAAGTAAAATCTTTAAGGGGAAAAAAAAAAGTCAACTTACCCTACCAACTGCACAGTGCTTTCAGTCACAAATGAAATATGTTTTAAATTCATCCCAAATTTACCAAAGTCACTATCAATGTATTTTATCAGCAAGAACACAAGAATTGGAAGGCCATCTAAATCTCTTCTCATATCAGATGGGAGCCATGCCTGGCAGACACCAGCTGCACAAACCTTTGCCTGGGGAGGCAGAGGATCAGGAGTGAAGAGAGGAGCCCTGGAAGGGAATGCCAGTCCTCCCTCCTCTGAGAGCAAGCCCCAGACACTAGCAGGATCTCTCTCATGGGGAGAACCTAACAGGAGCCAGCTGAGCAGAACTGAAACAACAGTTGGGAAAAGAAAAACCTTACCTGGAAACAAAAGTACTATTTGAACCCCTGCAAGGGGGAAAATAGTGTTCCCAAAGGTATAAAATGTCATTCAGATCTGGGTTCACAGTTTTAATAAAACCCCCTTTCTCACCACCCTAACCCCACTCCAATACTCTTTCTCCTCCATCAAATTCCACGGTCAAAAAAATTCACTGTATCATGGGTGTGATTTGTTTTCTTTTTATAAGATTGATGGGGTACACAAATTATCATACAATTGTTCATGAGATTCAGAGGAATCCTAGAAATTACTCCAACCCAGCCCACTGTAGAAGTAGTAAGATCAGAGTGATACAGTATGGGTGGACAAGATTGGGAGATAAAAATTCCCTTGTTGGTAATGTGATATTACAACATATCTCATTGGATGCCAAAAATTCAATGGGATAAAACCCTAGCATATTTGAGTACAACTACAGGAAATGGAAAAATTTCCCAAACTAATATACATTGTTATATAATGAATCCAAAGAGTGATAAAGAGGGAAGTACTTAAATTCCTAATGAAAAAAGTTTTTCTATATCTAGAAAATAACACTTAAACAGAGGCCTTGGTGCATGTACACAGATTTAGCTACAATGGACTGCATGATTTGAAGGACTCCAGAAAGACCTGACCCTTACCTTTGTTTAACCTACAGCGTTCTTTCAACTTCCTTTCACGATTCAGGGAAACAAGAACCTTAGAATCCTTCACCCTTCATGTAAAGGAGAGGATCACCTCACTTTATTTACAATTCCTTTTTCACCAGCCAAAGTCCCACATCAGAGTGACTCAGCCAGCCCTACACTCTCCTCATGGTTTGTGCAAGATCCTGTCATCTATTCTCACTATTACTGATTGTCCCCTGAGTGGTTTTACTTTTACCTCCTGAGAGGAAGGACAGTTTCTTTGTCAATGTTACCTAACAGAATGCCAGGGGAGGAGGTTAAGTGATAAGAGAACTTGGCAACATTAAACTGTGCCTGGTAGCAGGGGAATATGTCCCCGGATTGTTAAATTGAAGATGGAAAAATAAAATAGAAAAGGGATGCAAAAATTTTAAAGATAAATCTTCATCACCCTTACACTACTACAAGCAGAATAATCAAATTTTCACCTTGTCTAATGGCAGGTATGGCTCTCACATAGCTGTGTGGAACTGATCCTTCTCCTCTTATTTCTTCCCAAAGTTTAGAATCCTACAAATATGAAGATGTAGAGAGGGAGGAAATAGGATTATTTGTCAGGATCCACACCTCCCTCATTAAATGACTGCTTAGATATCATGAAGACTAACTAACTTTATTACCAGGGTATCATCTTTTAGGTCTATACTGAAGGCAAACTACAGCCAGAAACTCTGAATGGGTATGGCACAGAGAACTAGGGACATGGATTTGAGTCCCTATTTGTGCCAGGCTCTGTTACTTATCTGAGCATATTTTTATAGTTAAATTGTCATATGGTAGTCTATATCATCATTAAAAAACAAAAACAAAAAACAAAAAGGAATAAACTTACACATGCAAATCTGGGAACAAAACTGTCAAAAAGTAGTTTACTAAGTAATTCCTTCTCTTTAGTTTCTGTTAAGAAATAACAATTCAGAGGCACCTGGGTGGCTCAGTTGGTTAAGCCACTGCCTTTGGCTCAGGTCAAGATCCCGCAGTCCCAGGATCAAGTCCTGCATCGGGCTCCAACTCCACGGAGAGTCTCCTTCTCCCTCTGACCTTCTCCCCTCTCATGCTCTCTCTCTCTCTCTCTCTCTCTCTCTCTCAAATAAATAAATAAAATCTTTAAAAAAAGAAATAACAATTCATTTAAAAATAAACCTTAAAGTAATCAAACCTGTATAAACAAGCCATATTTCCCCAGTCCTCTATACTGCTTAAAGTGATAGGAATGTCCTAATACCATGTCACAAAGAATACACTGATGAATTCACATGGCTCTGGACAACCTGCTAGGAGTCATGAGTATCACCTAGGTGAAGGAGATTATTGTAAATTCATGGGTCTTGAGTCAGTAGCTAATTTTTACCTTAATTTTACAGATCACTAAAAAGACAAAAGATGATAGAACATCCAAATGGCACCATCTCCACTGAGGTTTCAAACTTCCTCCTGAATTGTTTTGTCAAGTCCCCCAGCTGGAAGTTCTGGTTGTCCCTGCCCCTCAGCCTCCTCTTCCTTCTGGCCATGGGAGCCAATGGTGTTCTCCTGGTCACCATCCGGCTGGAGGTCTCTCTGCATGAACCCATGTACTACCTACTCAGCATTCTCTCCCTGCTGGATATTGTGCTCTGCATCACCGTCATCCCCAAGGTCCTGGCCATCTTCTGGTTTGACCTCAAGTCCATCAGCTTCTATGCCTGCTTCCTTCAGATGTACATCATGAATTGCTTTCTTGCCATGGAGTCCTGCACATTCATGGTCATGGCCTATGACCGCTACATGGCCATCTGCCACCCACTGAGGTACCCATCCATTATCACTGACCAATTTGTAGCTAAGGCTGCTATTTTTATTTTGGCCAGGAATGCATTTCTTACTATGTTCATTCCCATCCTCTCTGCCCGGCTCCATTATTGTGGAAAAAATATAATTGAGAACTGTATCTGTGCCAACCTCTCTGTGTCCAAGCTCTCCTGTGATAACGTTGTCCTTAACAAAATATACCAGTTAACTGTGGCCTGGACTCTTCTGGGCTCTGACCTCATCCTCATCTTCCTCTCCTATACTTTCATTCTAAGAGCCGTTCTTAGACTCAAGGCAAAAGGGGCAGCTGCCAAAGCTCTGAGCACATGTGGCTCCCACTTCATTCTCATCCTTTTCTTCAGCACCATCCTTCTGGTTTTTGTTTTTACCCATATTGCCAAGAAAAAAATTTCCCCTGATATCCCCATCTTACTTAATGTCCTACACCATGTAATTCCTGCAGCTCTCAACCCCATTGTCTATGGGGTACGAACCCAGGAGATTAAAGAAGGGATTGGGAAATTACTGAGGAGAGCGGGAAAGAGCAGAACTAATCGTGTTCTAGCTCGACTTTTCTCAACCGTGAATGCTCTAATTACATTTGAAAGGCAGGAACTTGGAGAAAAAATTACAATCCTAATCATCTCTCTAGACATGCCTGAAGATATGAACTGCATGGTTTCCCTCTTACCTATCACATATCACACATGTGATATATCATATCACGCCTTTCACTTTCCATCATTTTCAGGAAGTGACTAAGGATATAAATGTAAAAGTCTCATCATGGTACCCAGACCAGGGGCTATGACTTTTCATGAGCCAAGCATCATACTTCACTGTCTTTTCCTAATTAAATTCCTTTTAGAGCCAGTGTGATGGAAAATCCATACTCACTTAAAGATGTGTGGCTGATGGGAAGTACCAGAACTTAAAGGCAGTGAATTGACTTCGGAAAAGTAAAATGAGATTGAAAAGCAACTGTTAAAAAGTGGTAAGAATAAACATTATGCTTTAACCTTTCCCTCAGGCCCTCAAACATATTTAATGAAAGTTATCTTACATCCAGCACAGAACTGGAAAATGGAACTCAAACATACATAAATCTTGATCTAAAGACCTACCCTAAAGGCCTAGGGGAAAAGCCAAAAACATGTAAAAATTACTGTAATAAGAATTAGATTAAAACACATAAATAAGCCCAGAGGAGAGAGGAATTCATTTCTGTAGGCGGGGACTCCTTTATATATCTGATCTCCTCCAGTCCCTGAGTCAGAACTGCCTCCCTAAAGCTTCTCAAAAACATGAACCACATTCTTGTCTCTGGGACTTTTTTTGCTTGTTGTTCCTCTGGACACATAACTCCTTTCCTCAGGTCCATTGGGTCTCCCTGACCACAGGGAAAGAAGAGACAAAGAAAGAAAGAAAGAAAGAAAGAAAGAAAGAAAGAAAGAAAGAAAGGAAGGAAGGAAGGAAGGAAGGAAGGAAGGAAGGAAGGAAGGAAGAAAGAAAGAAAGAAAGAAAGAAAGAAAGAAAGAAAGAAATTAATTTAAAATAGTATCCAACAATATTCCCCCAAAGCACAGATGATGTCCTAACACCTCTGCTCCCCTGTTTTGCATAGCATTAATCACTATCTACTGATGGTACGTTTTGCTCATTTATTTGTTTAGTCAGCCCTAATTTACTAAAATTTAAGCAGTAGAAGGGCAAGAACTTTTACCTGATGTGTTCACTGTTGTATTTTCAGTGCCCAGACAGGTCTGGGTATATAGTAGAAACCATAAATGTTTGTGAAATTAATGACTGAATATACATTGAATAAATGATTGAATGCATGCTAGTTAGTAGGAATATAATTCAGACATGGTCCTTGTCCTCCAAATTTTTACATTAGACATCAAGAGTGAGAGAGACCATATTTCATGCAATATTCCATGGTCTTATGGGTTGTATAGACACAACCAGGGGACATAGGAGAGCTTAGAGGTAAGACCAGAAGTAAATTTTTAGTGACTTTGTTTGAACACATCTGAAACATCCAAGTGATAGTGTATATTAAACAGTTGCACTGACAAGTTCTGCCCTCAAATAAAATGTATACTTGGGAACTGACTACATATCATTATTGAAACAATGAGAAAACAGGTGGAAAGACCTAGAGAAAGAATATGAAATAGAATAGAATAAAATCCAAAAAAAAGTCCTTAAAAGCCCCCATATCATCCTTACCTTCTGGTTTGTAGAGTGTAGCTTGGAGAGAACTCAAAGTAGTAGTAGTCAGGAAAAGGAAGGAAAAATGAAAGAGTCACAGAATAAAGCACTTCAAAATGGACTGTATTCACTCAAGAGGCCATGGTAACCTTATTTAAGGCCCCCTGTAGAGCGTGTGGTGGCCCTATCTGTATAATCAACTTAATATGCAAGATGCATTGCAAAATGGATGGGCTCATGCATGCCCATTATAAAACACATGGGTTTATTAATCAACGTTATAAATAGATACAGAAGAAATTCTTACATATGTGAGTATTATCCTCTCAGTGCACATAAAGATTCTTTGGGGTATCAAAACACCATTTTTTGACAAAAGAAGGGACATAAAATATATTTGAAAAAATAATGGCTGAAAGTTTCCAATCTGATAAAATTCATAAATCCAGAGTTCCAAGAAGCTCAATGAAACCCAAGAATAAGAAACATGAAGAAAACTATACTAGGTACATCATAACCCAATTGTTCAGAAGTAATGATAGAGAAAAAAATTGTAAAAGCCAGGGGAAAAAATGACACATTTCAAACCATAGGACTAAATTAAGGGGTGCCTGGGTGGCTCAGTCAATTTTTTTCTCTCTCTCTCTCTCTCAAATAAATTTTCTCTCTCTCTCAAATAAATAAAATCTTTTTAAAAACCAACGGACTATATTAAACATTAGAGCAGATTTATCAAAAACAATGCAAGTGAGAAAACAGAGCATTATCTTTAAAGGACTGAAAGAGAAAAAATTTTCAAGTACAATTCTATCCCCCACAAATACTTTTCAAAACCAGATATGTGTTTTTTAATATACAAAAACTGAAATAGTTTTCACCATCATACTCATATTGCAAACAATGTTCGAAAAGTTTCAAGAGAAAGAAAGAAAATATTATCTGATATAAATGCAGTTGTACAGAATGGTTTAAAGACCATCAAAAGTTGTTGTTACATGGGTAAATCATAAGATTTGAAAAATATTTATAGTTATTTAAAAATTATTGTCTATAACAAAAGTAATAACAATGCAGCATGCGGTTTATAAAATGTATGAAAATAAAAGCACAAAACAGGAAGGAAGCAATGAAACTGCATCATGGCAAATCATTACATTATATGTGAAATGATGTGTTATCACTCGAAGGTAGACTGGGATTATTTAGAGATCATACTATAATCTCTAAAGCAAGCCCCCAAAATACAATAGTTAAAACTCCTAAGAGAAAAGATAAATTAAAATGCAGTTTTAAAAATATACTCAGGTAATGGTTGTGGTGCACAAACAATGAATCTTGGAACACTGAAAAAATAAAATTAAATTTAAAAATAAATAAATTTTAAAAATATACTCAGGTAATCTAAAAGGTAAAAGAAAAGGAAGGGAAAAGAAAGAGAGAACAAATGCCCAAGCGATTTATTTAAAGCAAATTATAGAGGACGTGGAGAAAGGGGAACATGCTTACACTCTTGGTGGAAATGCAAGCCCATACAGCCACTCTGGAAAACAGTATGGAGGTTCCTCAAGACATTAAAAAAAGAGCTACCCTACAACCCAGGAACTGCACTACTAAGTATTTATCCCAAAGATACAGATGTAGTGAAAAGAATGGGTACATACACCCCAATGTTCATAGCATCAATGTCCACAAGAGCCAAACTGTGGAAGGAGCTAAGATGCCCTTCAACAGATGAATGGACAAAGAGGATGTGGTACATATATACAATGGAATATTACTCAGCCATCAGAAAGGATGAATATCCACCATTTGCAACAACATGGATGGAACTGGAAGGGATTATGCTAAGTGAAATAAGTCAACCAGAGAAAGACAATTATCATATGGTTTCATTCATATGTGGAACATAAGGAATAGCATGGAGGACCATAGGAGACAGGAGGGAAAACTAAAGGTTGTGGGGGGGATCAGAGAGGGAGTCAAACCATGAAAGACTATGGACTCTGGGAAACAATCTGAGGGTTTCAGAGGGGAAGCAGGTAACTGGGTGATGGGTATTAAGGAGGGCACATGTTGGGATGAGCACTGGGTGTTATATGCAACTAATGAATCATTGAACACTACATCAAAAACTAAGAGGAGAAAGGAGTGGGGATTTGGGTGAGCCTGGTGATAGGTATTATGGAGGGCTTGTATTGCATGGAGCACTGGGTGGGTGCATAAACAATGAATGCTGGAACACTGAATAGAAATAAAAAATAAAATAAGTAAAAACTAATGTACTATACAGTGGCTAACTGAACATAATAAATATATACACACATACATACATACAGTGAACTATATCCATAAATCACATTAACTATAAAGCAGAGCTTGACAGATTGGGGGGAAAAAGATTCAATTAAATGAGGGTTTTGAAGGGGTGGGGGTGGGAAGTTGGGGGAACCAGGTGGTGGGTATTGGAGAGGGCATGGATTGCATGGAGCACTGGGTGTGGTGCAAAAACAATGAATACTGTTACACTGAAAATAAATTTTAAAATTTTTAAAAATAAGTCAAGCAGAGAGAGTCAATTATCATATGGTTTCACTTATTTGTGGAGCATAACAAATAGCATGGAGGACAGGGGGAGTTAGGAGAAGGCATTTGGAGGAAATAGGAAGGGGAAGTGAACAATGAGAGACTATGGACTCTGAAAACAATCTGAAGGGTTTGAAGAGGTTGGGGGGTGCGAGGTTGGGGGGACCAGGTGGTGGGTATTAGAGAGGGCACGGATTGCATGGAGCACTGGGTGTGGTACAAAAAACAATGAATACTGTTATGCTGAAAATAAATTAAAAAAATGATTTAAAAGTTTTTTTAAAAATTAATTAATTTTAAAAATAAATAAATAAATTTAAATTTAGCACACACACAAAAAATGCAACCATACAAAACACACCGGAAATATAAAGACAATTAGGTTAAAAATAAAGGGATACTGTGTTGGAGGGGATGTGGAGAAAGGGGAACCCTCTTACACTGTTGGTGGGAATGCAAGTTGGTGCAGCCACTTTGGAGAACACTGTGGAGATTCCTCAAGAAATTAAAAAGAGAGCTTCCTTATCACCCTGCAATTGCACTACTGGGTATTTGCCCCAAAGATACAGATGTAGTGAAAAGAAGGGCCGTCTGTACCCCAATGTTTATAGCAGCAATGGCCACGGTCGCCAAACTGTGGAAAGAACCAAGATGCCCTTCAACGGACGAATGGATAAGGAAGATGTGGTCCATATACACTATGGAGTATTATGCCTCCATCAGAAAGGATGAATACCCGACTTTTGTAGCAACATGGATGGGACTGGAAGAGATTATGCTGAGTGAAATAAGTCAAGCAGAGAGAGTCAATTATCATATGGTTTCACTTATTTGTGGAGCATAACAAATAGCATGGAGGACAAGGGGAGTTAGGAGAAGGGAGTTGAGGGAAATTGGAAGGGGAGGTGAACCATGAGAGACTATAGACTCTGAAAAACAATCTGAGGGTTTTGAAGGGGCGGGGG